ATGCATAACCATAATAATAATTTGAAGGGAAATAGAGAAAACCAATGCGGTAAAAATATGGTGCTGCGCAGCTATTGGTGGACGAAAACAAATGGTTCGTGGTGTAGATTAAAAAAATTAAATATATAAAAACAAAATAAAGCTCACCTAAGCTCCGACAGAGGTAGAAAGTCGATATCCAGCAAAGGCCTAAGACTGGGTAGACTGTAAGCTTGCAAGTGTCCGTTGGAAAGGTATGCAACCAGACAAACGCTGTCTGTTGACAAAAAATTGATTACAAATTATATCATTTTAACTATGGTTTCGAGTAAAAATCGAACCAATTCTGGACATTTGTTTGCAAGTGATGCCAGAATTGAATATATTTTTTTAACCTTGTTTCTATTATGGTGCATTAAAAAAAATTCATCCATTGGCCGCTGTGGGTTTTACCCAAATTAATATAAAATGTAGTGTACCTTATTAGTGGCAATAAATCCACCTATATTTTTTTATTTTAACATACAGGGAGCGCTGGGGACAATTTAATTTAAAATTTTACAATCTATTAGAGACACCATTTTTAAGTTAAGCTATAGGTGGCGCTAAAATTACTTTTATTTATAAATTTAAAATTTTTTTATGTTTAATAATTTTGATCATAGTAAGCATCACAAACTTTTCTCTGTGGTAACCTACCATTGGAAGCATGAAAGATAATTTAACAGTTCAGTTTATAAGTTGACTGATTTCGTTTCAATTTTTAAGTGTACTATATATTCAAAACATTAATTTATTAAAATTAAACTAAATAATAATTATAGACAGTGTCAGCACGTTAGAAATTATAAACTACTTTAATTTTATTTTTTGCTCCACAACCAAGCTTCAATTTATTTTTTACTCGATAAGCAAGCTTCAATTTTAATTCCTAACTGAGGAAAGTAATATTTACCCAATAAATAAATTAGAATAAAGACTTAATTTTTTATGTTGCGATCGGCTATTTAGATATATGTATATTTTTTATTGATTTGTTTTTTACTTTTTTGTAATTAGTTATTATGCATTTTTTTATATTTAATATAATGCCATACAGGGTGTTTCTGGATAAACGCAAACGATATGGATTTAAAATTTTAATAGCATATATAATTTGATTTAGACCATACCTAAAGTCAATAGTCAAGATCCAAGGGTCAAGATATTATTTTATTATTATTAGGGTCAAGATATTATTTTTGTTCGTTAAAATGCAGGTTAATCAAAAATAGCCTCTAATTTTTTTGTTATTATGTTTGCTGACATGGCGTTGGAATTTTTCGAAAATTAAAACATTGTTTAAATAATTTAATTTTATAAAGGTTTTTCAACAAATAGCTTGAGAAAAAACACTTAAAATTAGGCAAACTTCAAACAATAATAACGTTTTTATTATAAATGTAAAACCCTGTATATACGTATATGTATATATGTTTTAACATAATCAAATAGAAAATTAAAGAATCTTTGGATTGGTATTATAATAACTGTTTCCTAAAATTAAAATTTCAAGGACATTTAAAAATTTCTAATATTTTCAATCCTATTTTGTATCAACAAACCTGTGAAATTCTAGATGTGGGTTAATGTGACAGTATCCATGGTTACCACTTAATCTGTTATTGTTTAATAGTATATTATGTATCAAGTGTGATAAACGCAATTTTATACACGAATTTAATTTAGGCACGAGCGAGCTTGCGAGCGAGTGATTAAATTAATGAGTGTATAGAAAAGTTTATAAACGAGGTGCATACTATACTTTTTCTACGACAAATACTTATTATTATCTTAAAATGATTTAAATCAACAATTTGTATAGAGCGCCATCTATGACACAATAGGGCATCTGTGGGTCACCGTCAAATGTCAAATTTTTGTATTTTATAAACACAATTATAAAGGTTATAAATCGAAATGTATTTCTTGAAAATTGACAGTTTTTCACAGTGAAAGTAAAGAAAATGTTTTATGAGCACTTTACAGTGGAGTCCGTGCCCGAATTTAAGTTATAGTTTACTGCCGGCGAAATTAAAAGGTCAGTACAATGTTCATATAAACTAAATATTGGCGTTGAGAAACTATTTATAATAAAATAATTTTCACATTTAGTATTATTTTACAAGAAAGGCAATTTATTTTAACGATTGTATGACATTTGACAACTGTCCACTAACTTAAAACTAACTTCAGCCCTGTTGCTAACTTCAGCCCGTGACTAAAGCGCCATAAAGCCACAACTTGTCAATGTGTATTTAAAAGGTCACTTAGTGTCATGGAAACATGTACGATAAAGGGCGTTTTAAAGGTGGGAGTAGAAAAAATTAATTAAAATATTTGAAAAATTAATAACTCGAAAAATATTGACTTTAGGTAAAGGATATGGTATAGCCATTTTACTAAAAATTTTAAGTAGAATTAAAAAAGGTAAAAATATATGGTGTCCTGTTTAAAATAACAAAGTTTAAGGCATTTCCGGTAAAAAATGAAGTATTATTTTATTCAACATATTTTAGGAAAAAAGTCTTAATCAAATAATTTACGCTATTAAAATTTTAAATCGATGTCTTTCGCGATTCCCTAGAAACTTCAAAAGGACTACGTACGTGAAACACCCTGTATATCAAACTTCCTTTATGTGTTATGCTATACTTATAAAAGATACAACAATATTTGTATAGAAATGACAAAATGTACTAAACTAAACATTTATGAATACTGCTACTGCTAATTTAAAACTGATCCTGGCCACAGAAACATCATTTGCATAAAAAATAATAGTCAAATATCAATACTATAACGTAGGTATTATACTCAAATTTATAAAACAAAGTTGCTTCTTCGATTATTTACCCTTTAAAACTTTTTAAATTTTAAATTAAATTACAATCTAAACAAAATTTTTTCATGGAAGAATTGTCATTAGTAAGATCTACATTTTGCCAAAATTTCAAATCGATACGTTTTGAAATATAAAAGTTATTAAAAAAATAAAATTTCTTCAGTGAAGAGAAAAATAAAAATAAAATGGACGATATTTTTTTTAAAGTAGGTACTGCAGTCGGATGTAGAAATAAGGTAAAAAAGTTTCAATCGATTTCTTGAACCCTTGCAAGTCGACCGTTGGATCCTTTCGCGAAACCGTAGTTAATCTAAAATTATATAAAAAACTCATTTTTACTTACCTTTTAAGGAAATTATTTCGGATTTTACCACGAAATCGGTATCGGTCAGCTGTTGCCGGTACATGCAAGTTTGCGACGGTAGCGCCAACACGCGGGCCTGTTTATCACTAGCAATGACCACGAATTGCCTGTCTGTGAACTGGTCTCTGGCACTGTCTCCCAGAGTCGGACTCATCCTGCTTTGGTTCCTTGTCGGGGTTTCTACACAGTAAAAAAATTTGCCCTTGTACATTTTTTAGTTTAGGGTAAAAATATTAGAGTTGATTTGTAAGTGTAAAAGTTACACTACAAAATACACTAGGTAGCATTTAGTGCTTATTAACTTTATTAAACACATTTAAAGAATATGAACATTATTCATTGGTACATTCACACTATTTATTATTAAAATAAATCAAAAGGGTAGACTTAATGTGTTAAATAGTGACAAAATGTACACTACAGTGCATGCCAATTTCTTTGTCTGTTTTGATGTTTCTAAGAGCTCTTTTTTCTTTACACTACTAGTGCACATTGTATCACAATTAAAGTTAAATTACACCAATAGTGGCAAAATAGACTGAAAAATCTGGTAATAACCGAAATCCGCTTTAAAATGTTGGTACCTACGCAGTGCATATCTGGAGATACCGCGTTGTGGAAGTGTGGCATTTTTGTTCAGTTAGATTTTAATTACGGTGAATCCATAAGGGGGCATTCTTATTTTTTGGTAAGTATTATACTTCCTTTTTTTTTAAGCCTTAATACTCAATAAATACCAATATGTTAAAAGGATGTCCATACCCGACCTTTATTGTATATCATTAATTTACGGCAGTAGGTCGGGTACTTCTAACATTAATAATATAAATACATACACTCTTGATTTACTTTTTATTTTTAAGCGTAATGGTTGTTATATTAACCTATACCTACATTTTTATTAATATTATGGAAAATTTGTACACGTGTGGTAAATCCCCGACATACAGCCGCCTGACGCCTCTCTACCAATGGGATCACCCATTTTTTATAAAAGAAAAATGGATTACTGATGAATTCTCAAGATAATTCATTGCTTACAAGTTGACAGCCAGTAAAACATTGCATTGATCTAAAACTTTTACGTTTTAGGGAACCATTTTGCTTAAGCCAGCCATACGACACAAATATAAAATTATATTTTAAAAGGCACCGATTTTGATAATTGTCATAGATTTTTGTTCCAATAAATGTTTCTCTTTATTTACCTTTTCGTTTTATTCACTACCACCAATAGGTTGTACTCAAAAAATAGTGTTAATTTACACTAGAAGTTTGCACTAAAAGAGTAAAAGTACCTTTCTAAAATTATAATTTTTCCAAAGTAGTGTTAATTTACACTGAACAAAAGTGGGATTTTACCCAGGAAGTGTAGAAGTACACGATTTTAGGTAAATTAACACTTTTTAATACAGTGTAAAATTACTTTATCCTCAGTGCTATAGTGTTAAATCATACTTGCTTACTTGGGGAAAATTACACTACAAATTAACTCTAATTGTAGTGTTATAAAACAACACTATTTAGTGTGGACCTGTGTGAACTAATTAGTGTTGCTTACAGTTGATTTTTTTTACTGTGCAAGAGATTTTTTTTTATAAAAACTACCGAAATTTCTTACTGTCTCTTTTTTCCCTGTTGTCGTCCTTCCAGGATTCGTAGCTATAGGGGATAAGGGCTCCATTGCAGTCCAGAAAAGCTATCGTTTGTATGGAACCCTTTAGTCGAAAAATTGTGGCCCCCACCAGTGAGACCACCACTGGTTGGGACGACCTGCTGTCCGGATCTGGAGGTGTTATGTAAATGGTCAAAACTGAACCGAGACTTGTGCCCACCCAGAGCGTTGGCGTCAATACTAAAGGTTCTAAAAAAAAAGAAATACAGTTTTATAACCAAGTAACACATTAGGTTTTATTGTTGCTGATACAGCACTTGTTTAAAATTACCTAGAAAATTGAAATTCTTTCCTAAAAAAGGGCATTTTAATCAAAGTTAGGTATAATAACCTTGCAAGAATTCGTTTTGTTGTTAAAATGCTTTGCTTAAATGCATTTATTTAATCATGATTTTAAAAAAACATATCTACATATGGGTGATTCTACAAAAGTTGGACAACTTGATGTCATAAGTCAATAGAGTAGGTATTTTAATATGTTTTGTAAATATTTTATTATATTACAAAAGATCCAGGTTTTTTTAACTTGTCCACCCAATTTTAATGTATTTTTTCAAAAGCACGTTTGTAGAAAAACATAATAAATATTCAAAACATCAGTACCTTGGCGTGTCACAACTCCTGAATCAAATATTTGAGTGATTTTATTTTAAAATATATTCAATTTATCTTAAATTTTTCAATTTCACTACAAACTATAAAACATTAAATAATGTAATTTTCATATTTTATCATAGATTCGAATAATATCAATTTTTAAAAAATTGATAATCTTTGTACTCACTTTTACCCGTCAGTTCTGTGTCCAATGTTAAAATTCAAAATTCCTGCGAAATATTGAAGGTTATACCTCAACTCCTTGTTTTAATTCAAGTGTAGGTAAAAAATTACCGGCGAAGTTGTGGTTAATGCAGGTATAGATCAAGTCAAATTTTCAGTAGTGTGGTGAGTAGTTATTTTCTTTCGTATATACAGTATGTCTCAGTATCTTGGACTCATATGGAAAACTCTTTTATTATTAATTTTAGGAAAAAAGATATTCTTTATAAAAAGTTCTGCATGGTGTACAACTTAAAATGCAACCCACAAATATTAAATTTTTTTAGTCGTATACGGGGTATGTCATAAAATATGAATTTGACTCAAGAGTAAAGTACCTTTATATTTGACAATATCGAAAATTGTTATAAAGAAAAGTTAATCAGAACTAAAAACTACGTTCAAATATGCAATTTCATCCATTTACATTAAAAAATTAGGTTTTGTTAATTTTTCTATTTTAAATGAACATTTATCTGTTATGATTACAAAAAACATAAAAACCTTTTCGTTTCTAAATGTTTTCTAAAATATTTTTATTTGATTTTTCTTTTTGGAAAATAGTTTCATGCAAAATAATTAAAAATAAAACCCCTTGACCGCTACGCGGTCTCGTGATTTTATTAAATTATTTTGCATTCAACATTTTCCAAGAAAAACCAAACAAAAAACTACTGAGCCTAGTTTAACCGATTAAATTCATAGTTCTCGTGATATAATATATGAATATATCCGTTATTTCCCAAATTGGCTTTGTGTTTCTAAAAGACACAAGGTGTCTTTTATTTTTAAAATTGATCTTTAGTTATAACCTAGGTATATCATTCTAGTTATAAAACTAAGATTGACACCTGGTTAAAACACAGTAAACTAAGCTGACTACCCGACATATAAAAATGGTTGTCATGAAACAATATTCGGGAGACCCTGTACAGTGTACACATATTAAATTAGACTGGGCCAAACATTTATTTTATTTATATTTTTTTTTTGAAAAGTATATCGGTGTCCTTGCAATATTGCAATATAGTTGACTCGGGACTGGTAGCCGAATGCATTGCTGCTTTGAAGCTGATAACGATTAATAATGTCCTAGAACTAGTATGGGTTAAAGGACATAATGGTAATGAAGGAAATGAAAAGGCTGATGAACTGGCAAGACAGGGATCGGAAAAGCTGCCAGTGGGCCCTGAACCTGTCCTGCCACTTACGAACTCAACCTTAAAAGTCCAGATAAAAAAACTAACCCATGAAAAACAACTAAGAAGATGGGTTAATCTAAGCTCATGTCGTCAGACCAAAAATATTATCACTAATCCATCTGACAAGCTGGCCAGGTACAGTCTACAGCTATCTCGTCAAAACCTCTCCGACCTTGTCGGAATTATAACGGGACACTGTAGACTAAACAAACATCTTCATACGATAAGAAAAGTAGACAGTCCTCTTTGCAGAGCCTGTAACTGGGGCGAAGAGAATGTAATACACATTATTTGTGAATGTCCTGCTCTTCTCGAATTCAGAAAATCCACTTTAGGAGAAGAATGGGTTGATGCAACCAACATTAGCTCCATCTCTCCAGCCGTCTTTCTAGATTTCTTTCGGAAACTCGGATGGCTGGATTAAAAAATTTGAGCAAACACAAATGGGGAAATGGATCTCGGGGGCAGTACAAAGGGCCAACTGTGGCCTAAGTGCATGTAGCCACAATGTGGCTACCCTCCACCCAACAAATCCAATCCAATCCATATCGGTGTCAAAAAAAAATATTGTGAAAGTTTGAGTCCATAAAATTCCATAATATTCTATCATTTTATCATCGCAATTTTAGATTTTTTTTCTGACCGAGTTTTTGTCTCAGAACTTCCAAACCACTGAGTTTAACAAAATTGACTTGAATATTTTTTGAAGAAAATTGAATTTTCTACAAAAAAGGTTTAATTGGAATTTCCCGTCAGATGAACCGTTTTCTTACAATCATGCCTTAAAAATTGGTATAGTTTTACAATTTGATATTTTAACTTTGGAAATAGTCGATTTTTTTTGGCCCAGTCTAATATTACATACATTATTGTTATCGCAGCCCTACTTAAATATGCATTTTTAAATCTATGAAATAATTGAATAATATGAAAGTAATTTAAAATAATGATTTTAAAAAATTGATTAGGTACTTTAAATTCTTGATTTTAACAAGCTTTTTTGTTAAATTTATTATCATTTTTTGAATATTTCAACTGTATATTTAAATAATTTTTTGTAGTAATAAAAACATAACTTTATATACAAGGTGTCCCTAAACTTAGTGGCATAAATTTAGGAGCAGGTAAAGCAAGTCAAAATAAGACCAAAATCTAAATAAATATTTTTCCTAATTACGTTTGTTTAAAAGATACAGGGTGATAAAATGTTACTTATCATATCACTTTTTTAATATAACTTCTACAGTGGAAGTTATATATAGGCAGCGGGTGGTTGATTTTATGTATACCAATATCTCAGTTATTGGACATGGGACCCACACCAAATTTATAAGCGAAACAGCTGTCAAAAATTTAATAAATTTCGTGAAACTTTACAACAAAATTGTTTTTATATCTACATAGTTAACACACTAGTGTGTTATAATCCATAACTCAATAGTGAGCTGCTGATAGTGCTGGAAGACGCCGACGCATTAGAACCTTGTATTTTTTCTGCAATTTGTATTTTGTTATGCACCGATTGTTCTAGGTATCCTTCTGCTACCGTCGAGGACTTCCATCCTCCGTGACGCTTTAAAGTAGTCATGTTAGCTTCTGCATTGACCAAAAGAGTCGCCGAAGACCTTCTCAGGCAGTGACCGGTGTAGAGCGCTGGTTCCTCCAATTTCAAAAACATTGCAATTCTTGAAGGTATCTTCGACAACGTATTTATTCGCACACACTGGCTGGTACACCTCCCATTTTTGTAAACAAAAAGAGGCTGGAACTAGTATTCTTTGGTCTCAAAGACATGTATTTTTTACACAAATTGATCGGGTTGACTGGAAATCATTCTTCAAGTATGGTGAAACTTGTAAATTTCTTGGTTTTAGTGTCTGGCAAAACTACGTGAAAATATTTCCCTTTGTCTTAAATATTTTCTATTTTTAAATTGACCAATTCATCGCATCTACCATTATCAAAGCCACTTTCATCAACAGGTACTCGTCGTCGGAAGCTTCGTTCAAAAACTTCTCTATTTCAGGTCGTTCTAATGTCTTGGACTTCTTTGGTTTGTATCCCTGTGATTTGCTTTTCAAAAAGCTCGTTAGTTTGCCATATTTTGAAATGTCGATTTTTTTATAAAGAGTCGAGCGAAGCATCGAGTATTTGGTCCATAGCGACGATGGGGCTAATTTTTTTGCAAATGTAAAAAATAAGCCAATAAAACATTTCATCGATACCTTTTATCTTTCGTGAATTCATCCAATACTCAAACATTTTGAACTGGCAAAATCTGCATCGCTGCTTCTTCCGCTTCCGTAAGGATATCCTCAGGAACGTAATTTTCATCGGTTTCCTTCATTTTCTTTAAATTTTTTTTCTTCAAAAAGCTGACAAGTGTAAAAATTTATTTAAACATTTGCTAACCAAACAAACAACCTACTTTGACCAAAATGTAAAAAAGTCAATACCAAGTCATTCTGACATTTATAGGGTACTGAGACGCAAGTAGCTTTGATTTGATCACAAAGCTTATTAATTATTATCTCATAAAAAAACGATTTCTTCCACTTGTGTATAAAACATTGTATGCCACTCGTGTGTTATGTTTCCCAAGTCACTTGAGAATTTATAAATCTTTGTCGCGTGACTTATTTTCAACATAACACACTAGTACCATAAATAACTATTAAACTTACAGTTTTAAAAATGTTAAAAATTTAAAAACATGTTTTTATTTTAGATTTTACTTATGCTGACGGAGAATGGAAGCAAGCGGAAAGGTAAATTTTGGAATTAATGAATTTTTCATACAATTAATGTATTCAAAGATTTAATTTAAAACGATATACAGCCTTTTTAATGTAAAAAAACAGTTTATTCTTTTCAATTTATTTTGAAAGGGTACCTAATAATTTAATATAAGTTTTTGTATAGTACCTATACTATACTATATACCTACTATAGTATAAGGATTCAAAATAGTTAAATAATAATCTCCTAAACTTCATAAAAAAAATGGTTGGCAAATCACAAACCGTTTCTACTACGTAGCAGAGATTTTGGCAATATACTTTACAGTTTCAAGTATAAGTGGCATCCATTAAATTAAATTAATTTTAAGGGCACACTAACGCAACTCTGCAACGTGTGGTGACAGATATGCTGACTTCCCCACATCTA